GAGTTTTAGTGTCAAACGAAGCCTCTTGCTTCATTTTTGCCTAAAAGAAATTTTGAATCAATATTTAATAAAATTATTTTAAAACATAAAAAATCATTATAAAGACACTAAAAACTCAAAAATAAATATTCAATTGCCTTCTAAAATAGGCAAACCATATATCATAGTGAAGATAATGAATTTAGGGATTTTTAGAGACAAACTGTACCTCAAACATAGGCTTCACGTGCCTACACACTCCTAAAGAAGAATAAATCCTGAAAAAATAAAAATAAAAATGGTGAAACCCACTCTCACCACCGACGCGTGGACATCACACGCTACAGTAAAAGCCACTACCGACAACGACATATAACAGTTAGGCAGACTCCACACGCCATTGTGGCTTTGATGATGACGCCACGTGGCAGTTCTGGCCCCTTTTTTATTAATTTGTTTTTAAAGTTTAATCTTTTTTTTAGGCCTAAATAGTTTTGGGCCTTTTTTTCTTAAAACAATATTGGTCCTAAAAAAAAGGCTGGCAAATACTTTTTATATATACATATATACCAAAACGGTGTTGTTTTGCAGTGACACTGTTTATCTTCAACCTCTAGCCAGGTCAGCCCAGCCTGGTTGGCGAGATGGATGGGGTCCGTCAGACCCGAAACTTCTTTTCACCATATTTTTATTGTCTAAAGTCCAATTTTTATGTTCTTGTTATCATTTTCTTTATTTTTTCGAACTCCATGCAATGAGATAATTTTTAAAACCTAAAAACGTGATTCTCAAAAGAACCAAAGACAAAAAAAACTAAACCTCTAAAAGAGATTCTCACTCATTATGAGTTTCATGCCTCGAAGTCTACATTTTTAGCCTTGTTCGGATGTTTTCAATTATTTCCTTACATTTTTCTTTATAGACTAATGGTACACAGTAACAAGAAACAAGCAAAAAAAAATGGAAAACCGAAAAAGAAACAAACTTTGTGTATAGACTTGAAAAGGCAGTAAGCAAAACATAGACTTTTATGTTTACAGATATAAAACACATATATTATAAAGAAGGATTTCCATAATATTTGAGAGCAAATTGCACATGGGAACAGATTGGTAACCCAGATGGACACAAAAAAAAAATAGATTAGGCACACAAAAATATACAGGCTACAGGAAAAAATCAAAGCTCTAATACCATTGTGAGTTTTAGGCATATCTGGAATGCAGATAAGTATTTTTGGTACCCATGCATGATCTGATCATGTAGACGGAGTCAGACTTTTTTAGTTATACAACAAGTATATTGTGAAGAGAGAATAAGAGAATTAGAAGGGAGAAGAGTTATAGAGAGAAAAAACTTCCCGAAGAGAGAACTATCGCGCGCGCGCGCGCACGCATGCATCCTTCAGTTTTAAAAACTGTTCCCTCCAAAAAATAAAGGGTATTTTACAAGTAATAACCCTTAATTTTTAGTTTATTATAATTTGGACCCTAAACCTTATGGGTTTGGGCCTAATCTACCAAGAGTTGATCGAGCTAAGTCCAATAATTTCCTACTCTAGACTGTTTATGCTGTTATTGAGACTTTTTAGTAATTATCTTTTTCCTTTGGGACTTCATTGTAATTCTCCTTAATATTTTTTATAAACATGAAAAAGCCAAGCATAAAATGGGAGGGAGGAGTATATTTGACAACATGAATTTTATCATATCACCCATGAAATATAGTTTATACGCTAAACATGAAAGTTCTTTAAAGCTGAGAAAATGGCATTAAAAGACCCTTGAAATAGCAAAACAGTGAAAAATTGCTTGGAGAGATTGGGTCTTAAATTGCAATTATCAAAATCAAGGTTAAAAGACCAAAAAGCCCTTCTTTCTTCTCTTCTAACTTCCTCTCTCTCTGTCTCTCTTCTTCCTTTTCTTTCCTTCTTCTACTCTCTTTTGTCTTCCTTCTCCACTCATGAACCTATTAAGCCACCATTAATGCAATCCAAAAAATTGCTTGGATACTTGCTCTAGAACCATAATTTTCTTCCATGTTTTTCCCAACCCATTGATTTGCAATAGGGGAAATGAAAACATGTTAATCATGGAGCTTCTATATTTAATTTTTTGCAAAACATGTAATGCTAATATAGTACTCTTCATATGAAAGCTCTTATTCTCCACAATCTCTCTCTATTCCACAATCTTATCTCATGCTGATATAGTATATCTATGACTTGTGGAACAAAACCTCCACTCAAGTTTCAAAGACCAACTTCATGCTTATCACAGTTCAGATCAAAAACTACTATTGTATATAGCAGATCAAAGTAACTATGTATGGTGAAAAAGTAATTGAATATCTAAGACCTAGAATCACCACTGATACAAACATAAGCCTGTAGAATTACATCAGTTAAATCACTGTCAATGACAAGTCTAATATGAAAAATAACAAGTCTAATATAGAAAATAACAAGTGTTGAAAAGCTACTTACATTAACTTGAGTTTTAACAGAAATTGACATCATTTTCACAATTTAGTTGTGAATGACAAATCTAGTATGGGAAATAACAAGTCTAGTATGATAAATAATAAGTGTTGAAAAGCTATTCATATGAACTTAAGTTTTAATTGAAGTTGGCATTATTTCCATGATTTTGTCACGAATGACAAGTCTAGTATGAGAAATAACAAGTCTAATATAGAAAGCAACAATTCACATTAACTTAAGTTTTAGCAAAATGTGACATTATTTTCATAATTTAGCTATAAATAACAAGTCTAGTATGAAAAATAACAAATCTAGTATAAAAAATAACAAGTGCTGAAAAGTTATCCACATTAACTTTAGTAGAAATTGACATTATTTCACAATTTAATTGTGAATGAAAAGTTTGGTGTGAAAAATAATAAGTCTAGTATAAGAAATAACAAGTATTGAAAAACTATTTACATTAACTTAAGTTTAATAGAAATTAGCATATAGTAATTTCATAGAAAGTTGCCATTATTTCCACATTTCATTACCAAATGACAAGAGTAATAAGTCAAATGATAAGAGTGGTAAGCGAAATGACAATTCTGTCATGAGGTTTCTCATGAAATTAAGTTTCATGAAAAATTGTTATTATTTCCACATTTACCTACCAAATGACAAGAGTGGTAAGCTAAATGACAAGTTTGGTAAGCAAAATTACAAGATTGTTACTGAGTTTCCAATGAAATTAAATTTTCTGAAAAGTTATCATTATTTCCACATTTCACCGCCAAATGACAAGAGTGGTAAGCTAAATAATAAGAGTGATAAGCGAAATAACAATTCTGTGGTTGAATTTCTCATGAAATTATGTTTCATGGAAACCTGACATTATTTCCACATTCATTAAGGACCCAAACCTGAAGTAAAGGATATGAAGAGAAAAAAAGAAAGCTTATATTAGAAAATGCCATTAGAATCTCAGAGCATTCACTAACAAACCAATGGAGAATCTCCAACTTAGGAAAAACACTCTGTAATATTTGATGATCTATTCATATGGCCAATGGCCTATTTATAGCTGAATCACATAGATAAAATAATTAAACAAAGTTTGAAAATTAATGATAATAGAAGGATAAAATCTAATCCTACTTAGTGGATAATGCCACTTATTTCTCAATTGAAAGCAACAAAAAATAATTCAAAACAATTCAAAATAGAATCAACTCATAATCCCTTGATTTTTGCTAGCAGATTTTCTTAGATAAGTCAGCAACAGCTTATAGGTCTTAACAATATTTCATTGTCAAATAACAAGAATGATAAGTCAAATGACAAAAAACGTAAGCCAAATAACAAGTTTAATAAGAAAAATTACAAGTTTGACACTGGGTTTTTTATTAGCTTTAGAATATTCCATAAATCTATCTTATTACTATTTAGAACTATTAAATACAAAACATCAACATTGTTCTTCCAATAAACAAAAAACCAATATTTCCAAATCCTCATGTTGCTGTCATCAAAATGACAAGTCTATAATTACAATACTATTAGGCAAAATTACAATAATAGTAAATCAAATAACAAAAAACCAGAGAGGCTTTGATGGCAACCAATTTTTCAGTTAGCCATTTGAATTTGAGAAATTGGTAGAAAATAAAGTTTGAAAAATACTATGAAGCTGCTAGCAAAAGATAGGAAAATCAAGAATTTGAATTCAATATAATTTTATTCCATCAGCTCAATCATTTACATAAGAAAATTAAACCTAATAGCCTCTTCGATTACCAAAGTTGACATTAGAATTTTATAACTTGAGCATTCAAAATGACAATATTCTGATTCACTCCCTTCACTATAGCACCTGAAACTTTACACTTAAATTAACAACCATTACCTCCTTTCATTTTCCCTTTCACACTTTGCCATTCCTCATGTCATAACCCCTCTCTATCACAATCAAACCCACAAAAATCATACATGAACAATCAGATTAGAAAAATAAAAATATCTCACCTTAAACTAATCACAACCTCCTCCAATTAACGTTTTCCATCATCAACTTCAGCTCTCACTCCCTCCCAAAGTATAACACCCAATGCATGATAATAGAACTCACAAACTTGAAGAACAATATCATAGTGCTTGGTCTCAGATGGAAGAATCGAAGGAGACTGCAGTTAGAAATATTACTCACTTGATTCCCAGGCTTGGAAACTGCAAAACATGTCATCCCTTCTTTCTCTTCTTACTCCCCCCATGAATTTTTTGTGTCTACCTTCATAAATAGTTTTCAATAACAGAGGGGCATTTTAGTCTTTTAGGTGTGATTTGCTAATTGTAATTTAAGACCTGATCCTTCCAAGCAATTAAACTTATTCAAATACCCATTTCGCTATTTTGTTAATTTAAGGGTTTGTGATTGCGATTTTTCCTTAATTGAATCCGCCGGCCATCTATTAAAAAACAATAAATTTTCACGCGCGCGCGTCGGTGATATCTTTTCTCATGAGCCCCAATTTTCTTCATTGGAGCTTGAGGCTCCATTTTTCGTCAATTCCCATTCCAAATTTCCAATCGTTCACTGTTGTGCCACCGAAAATGGAGATTGAGGAATGCAAAACCCTGAAAATTTTACAGCCCAACCCAAAATCCTCCGTCTTCTACCTCTACCTCAATCGTCCTTCACAACGCAATGCTCTCTCCTCTGATTTCTTTACCGAATTACCCAAAGCTCTCCATTATCTCGATCACAACCCCCAAGTCAACGTCATCGTCCTTTCCGGTGCGGGCGGCCACTTTTGCTCCGGCATCGACCTCAACTCGCTTAGTTCCACCTTCAAGGACCATTCATCCAGTGACCGCGGCCGCTCTGGGGAGAAACTCCGACGACACATCCTGGGCTTGCAGGATGCCATCACCGCCATCGAACGATGCCGGAAACCCGTGATTGCCAGCATACAAGGCGCTTGCATCGGCGGCGGAGTCGACATTATTACCGCCTGCGATATTAGGCTTTGCACCAAGGACGCCTTTTTTTCGGTGAAAGAGGTCGATTTGGCCATCACGTCCGATCTTGGAACTTTGCAGAGGTTGCCGAGTATAGTTGGGTACGGTAATGCTATCGAGCTGGCTTTGACAGCGAGGAGATTTTCGGGTCTGGAAGCAAAGGAGCTTGGTCTAGTTTCTCGAGCTTTCGATTCTAAGCATGAATTGGATGAAGCTGTGTGGGATGTCGCCGAGGTGAGTCACCTTAGCGCGCGTCTTCTTAACTGTCCAAAACTGTTTACTTGATTCTTGTCTAGTAAAAGTAGAATTATTTAATTGATAGCACTTTTCGGGACACACATTTCATTTTAATGACTTGGTTTTAGGACATCTCTAGCTTGGACTAATGGTTTCGCTTCTTCTGTTACTCCGCCAACACCAATGTAAATTTAAAGTTAATTATATCAGTTATTTTTCATTCCAATGTGACCTATCATTTATCCGTGAAGTATTCACTAGCATCCATGAGACCAATTGTGGTGGGCTATTTTGCTTTTAGTTTTTCTATAGTAATAGATTCAAGTTAACCAAATATACTGTCAGAATTATTGGTGTTGCTTGCATCCCTTTTTATGCGCAGGATTTGCTAGATGAGTAGTGGAAATGTCATTTAAATTGGAGATAATAATAATAATAATAATGTTTTACATTGCTAGCCTTATTCATTTTCGATTGTTATATGTCATCCTTGTGTACGGGCCATGCTAATATTCCCTTATTCCAATTGTATTGGATGTCCCTGTAATTTTTATGTGGTAACAGCTCATGCGTATTATTATTGAGAATAGAGAGTTACATATATAGGGAGAAAAGAGGATAAAATCAGATTTGATTCTATCACTTAGGTAGTTCCTAGAATCTCGGAAATAATAAAGACAGATTACAAGCGAAAATAAATCCCATGAGCTTAGGGATCCCAATCTCACAGACAAAAGGAAAAATAGGTCACAAGGCAATAGGCCCAAGAAGTTGGCGGTAGGCCCAAACTTCCTCCAACAGTCCCCAAAGGACTACTAGCCCCATTCTTTTGGAAAAGACGGAAGGCATGTAAGGTTTTAGTGGGGATAACTAGACACATCTTCTTGTGGAGTCTAGGGTGAAGGTGACCCACACTGTTCACGTTTTATGAATATAATATGGTCTTCTATAAATTTTTATATGATATATTGATCGTTATTTAAAGTGTATTGTGCTGGAGTTCCATTGTCCATTCCAGATATGGCTCTCTGTTTACATGTGTAACTGGATAGGCTATTGCCCAAGTTGTTCATTGGAGAACCTCTAGGTTGGTTGACACAAAACTAGAGTGGGTCCTAAGATAAATCTTAGAGGCATTTCATTCATTTAGTTCTGATAAGTCTATTTTTCCTTGTAACTATATTTTTTCATGTTGCTTTTAGAGTGATGATTCCTATTTTGCATCTTCCACGTAAGTGCAAGATGAGTCTCGCTAGGATTGGTAAAGTATGGTTACTTAAAACTTTAATTTGGTCATTATACTTAGAAATGACAACAAATCCACTCTGAATTAGATGAGCAGGGCTGAATTCCTTGCTTAATTCTTCTCATTCACTTCATTGCTTCCTTTCCTTTACTTCTCTTGTTCTTCCACAGCATCAAGATGCCATTGTTCTGACACCATAATTTGACACTTGACAGCAATCGCTGCAAAGTCTTCCCTTGCAGTCATTGGGACAAAAGCTGTGTTACTCAAAAGTAGGGACTTAACCGTGGAGCAAGGGTTGGATTATGTTGCTACTAGAAACGCTGCAACTCTGCTATCCAATGATTTGCATGAAGCAGTGTTGGCACACATCCAGAAACGGAAGCCAACTTTTGCCAAGCTTTGAATGTGTCAAGTATAGCATACATCTGGCAAGTAATACACTTTATGTTTATGTTGCAAATAGTGATAAGTGTTCTACATGTTTAAGTTCAATGGTTGTACGCATACTTTTGTATCCAAGTTAATGCAAGTAATGACTAATTGAGGAAGTAGTCATTTTTATCGCAATGTTAAAAGGTCACCTACTGTGCCTATGTATACCTGTTGTACTTAGTGGTTGAAGACAGGAAATAAGAACATGAGCTCTCGGTTCTTCCTTCTTCCTGGTGACAACAGAAAATATGCATCAGTACTGAGTGAACTTTATTAACAGATGCTTATAGAAACTTGACATTTGCTGCATTGATATTGCCTAAATGAGCCTTTTTAATGGAGTCATTCCCTGCCCCGAAAAGAACATGTTTACGGAAATCGGAGGAAGTTAACTTTTGTAGATATCTGGTTTGGCCTTGCTAGAACTTGGCTGAGCTGCCGAGATAGCTGCCTCTCTGTTTCTTGGAACAGACACTTGTACTTTCTTATTTTAGTTGTTAGTGTTTGTGTGTGTAGTGGAACTTGGTTTTACGGAAAGAAAATTCAATGCTGATTCTGGGGAAGGGGGTTTCTACATTGAAACTCTCATTGAGAAGCGTGTGATTAGCCATGCCGCATAAGACAGGTAAGCAACAAAGAATGTTTGGAAGGCTTTTCATTTTGGAAGTTCTTATTTTACCTGTCACATGGTTCCTTTTCTTATTGGTTTTTGTTGAAAGACAAAGCCCAAGGCCCAAGCCAAATAAACTTAGTTTTACTTATTAAGTAGTTTTTTTCAGTTACTCATTTATCTTTCCGTCTTAGATTAGATAGGGATAGATAACAGTATCTTATCTTTAGTCTTCCTTGTTCGGTTATATATATATGATGTATTCCTTCTCATTCAATAATATAAGATATACAGAATTGTTCTATTAACTTCATGGTATCAGAGCGGGTGCGAATTCGGCCTTGTTCATCATGATCTGTTAAAGTCACGTGAAGCCTCCTTGCGACCAGAGATATTTGGCGACTTGGAGACGAGAACTTGCGACCAGAGCAGAAGCCTCCTCGTGACCAGAGATATTCGGTGACTTGGAGACGAAAAACTTGCGACCAGAGGTACTCGGTGACTCGGAGACGTGAACCTACGACCAGAGATACTCGGCGACTCGGAGACGTGAACTTGCGACCAGGAGCCTCCTTGCAACCAGAGGTACTCGGCGATTCAGAGACGTGTGCCAGCGACCTGAAACCTCCTCGCGACCAAAGGTACTCGGCAACGTACACTAACTACTGCTTCTCGACGCACCCAGGAACCGGTTACACGAGTCGCGACTTGAGGAACCAGTTACACAAGTCGGACACAGACGACGATGACACTTGAGGAACTTCCACCCTTGTTCGGATCAATGAGACGATCCGGAGGAAACCCAAACGCGCCACCCTCGGCTCTTACAGTAGGTATAATACCACAACAATCTGCTTCCTCTTCGTCTACATCATCACCGATGGGAACAGAGCCAGTATCTTCTGCTGAGACACAACAAATGATAATTGCCCATAAACTGAATGGAAGCAATTACTTACAGTGGTCTCAAAGTGTTCTCATGTATTTGAGAGGAAGAAGGAAGGAAGAATACATCACGGGAGAAGCCCCACAGCCAAAACCTGGTGACAGTAATTATAATACATGGTTTGCTGAGAACAACCTTGTAATGACTTGGCTGTGTAACTCGATGACCGTAGAGATTAGTGAAGGCTACCTACTTGCTAAGACAGCAAAGGAGATATGGGACGCAGCAAGAAGAACCTATTCTGCCATAGACAACACTGCAGCACTATTTCATATCAAGAGACTACAAAGAGAGCTAAAACAGGGTTCTATGACTGTAACTCAATATTATACTGCCCTTACGCGCCTGTGGCAGCAGCTGGATATGTTTGATATCCATGAATGGAGTTGCAGTGGTGATGCTCAATTATACAGAAAAATAGTTGAGAAAGAAAGGACCTATGAATTTTTGCTCGGCCTTATAGATGCATTTGAAGACGTGAGAGGAAGAATCATGGGGTTAAAGCCGCTGCCATCGTTATTTGAAGCATTCAACATGGTAAAATGTGAAGAGAGCAGGAAGCAACTCAGAATATATTTACACCATCAGAAAACTCTGCCTTGACAGTACAAGGCAGTAATGTACTTGAACCAAGAGGAAAGAAGAATTCAAAAGGCTGGTGTGATCATTGCAACAAAAATGGTCATACTAGGGACATATGCTAGAAGCTGCATGGCAAACCGGCTAATCTGAAACAAAGAAGAAGACCTGAAAGCAAGAGCTATTCTGCAGTAGTTGATGAGGAGAAGAATGGAGAAACCTTAAGCCGAGAAGAATTACAAGTGTTTATTTTGCTGAATATTTCATGCTCATATCTTATTCCATATGATTGGGTTACAATATATAGAGTCCGGATGAGAAATAATATCCGGTTACAATCAATCAGTCATAAATTACATATATTGCAATATCTCAATAAATCAGGAAATATATCTTCTAGCTAATATCATGGGCAATTAATGGAGAGAATCAAGGGAGATAATCAGGGGCTTTCTAACACTCCCCCTCAAGCTGGAGAGTAAATGTCACCCATTCCCAGCTTGCTTCGAAGCCCTTCAAACTTGACTCTGGCTAAAGGTTTGGTCATGACGTCAGCAATCTGATCAGTTGAGCGCACATAGCTCAGGTTAATTGTGCCATCTTCAACCTTTTCTTTGATGAAGTGCCGATCAATGTCAACATGCTTTGTTCGGTCATGATACACAGGATTCTTGGTCATTTCAATGCTGGCTTGGTTGTCACACCAGAGGTTCATAGGTCCTTCATAGGAAATTCTCAATTCCTTCAGAAGTCTGATCACCCACATTCCTTCACATACCCCCAGGGCTACAGCTCTTAGCTCAGCTTCAGCACTACTCCTTGAGACTACTGTCTGTTTCTTGCTTCGCCAAGTGACTAGGTTTCCCCAAACATAAGTGCAGTATCCTGTGACAGATCTTCTGTTATCCACAGCTCTCCCATGATCTGCATCAGTGTAGACCTCTATGTTCCTTGTACTCCCCTTTTTAAAGAATATTCCTCTTCCAGGATTGAGTTTGAGGTAGGTCAGGATTCTGTATACTGCTTCCATATGTTCTTCCTGGGGTTGATGCATAAATTGGCTTACTACTCCAACAGCATAGCTAATGTCAGGCCTTGTATGAGTCAAGTAGATCAGTTTACCTACAAGTCTTCTGTACCTTTCTGAGTTGACTGGTACCCCGTCTGGTTTCACTTCCAGATTACATGATTCTTCCATAGGCGTCTCACTAGGTTTAGCCCCAAGTATTCCTGTTTCGTGGAGCAAATCAAGTGTGTACTTTCGTTGAGACACACTTATACCCTTTTTGGATCTGCAACCTCCATTCCAAGAAAGTACTTCATTTGTCCTAGGTCCTTCACTTGGAATTCCCTAGCTAGAGCTTTCTTGAGTTGGGAGATAGAAACTTCATCACTGCCAGTTATGACTATATCATCCACATACACAATTAGGATCGTTACCTTTCCATTACTGTGTTTAACGAAGAGAGTGTGATCAGCTTGTCCTTGGACGTAGCCAAACCTTTTGATTGCCTTGGCAAACCTGTCGAACCACGCTCGTGGAGACTGTTTCAGGCCATATAGTGATTTCTTCAGTTTGCAAACTGAGTTGGGTGGAGCTATTACTCCATCTGGGATTTCCATGTACACTTCCTCCTCCAAATCTCCATTTAGGAAAGCATTCTTCACATCTAGTTGATGTAGAGACCAATCAAGGTTAGCAGCTAGAGACAGGAGTACCTGGATGGTGTTGAACTTTGCCACAGGAGCAAACGTTTCTTGATAATCAATCCCATAAGTCTGGGTGTACCCTTTTGCAACTAATCTTCCTTTGTACTTGTTGATACTTCCATCAGGATTGAATTTAGGGGTGAAGATCCACCTGCAACCCACTGCTTTCTTGCCCTTAGGAAGTGTGGTAATATCCCACGTGTTATTTTCCTTTAAGGCTCTCAACTCCTCATATGCGGCACGTTTCCAATTAAGATCTTTCATAGCCTGTTGAAATGTTTCTGGAATCTTCACCTGTGAGCTATTCACCACAAAGGTTTGCATTCTAGCAGATAAATTGCCATAGGAGACAAATTTTTGAATAGGATGCTGAGTACATGATCTTACCCCCTTTCTAAGTGCAATGGGCCATCCTAGCTCTTCAGGATCCAACTCTGGATTGGAATCATGTTGCTGCCTTGGAATGGAAGGAACCCTACTACTACTATCCTGCTCACCTGATTGAGGACTTGAACGCTCTGTCACCCCTGCATCAATTTCAGCATTCGTTTCCATTGGGTGAGTCGGGTGAGGAGTGTTTGTGGGGTTTTGGTGCTCTAGTGGAGGTGTAGGACTAGGGGTTTTTGGTTCCGGTTCAGGGACAGTGATTTCTTCTTGTGGTATGGCAGGTTCAAGAGGGGTGGTAAGATGTGTGTTGGGATTGGTCATAGGTTCAGGTGTAATTAGCCATTCTACTCCATAGTGCTCCCCCTGAATGGGTAATTTGGGATAATAAGCATCATCCTCATAAAAAACTGTGTCTTTGGAGATTATGAGTTTTCTGGTAGTGGGACAATAACACTTATACCCCTTTTTGGTGGAGGAATACCCGAGGAAAATACATTTTTCTGCTCTAGCATCAAGTTTGCCCCCATCATGTTTATGAACAAAGACGACACACCCAAAGACCTTTTGAGGGATGGTATTGATGATAGGTGAGGTGGGGTAGGTCTCGAGGAGTTTTTGAATGGGGGTAGTGAAATGGAGAATTTTTGAGGTCATTCGATTGATGAGATAAGCAGCGGTTAGCACAGCATCTCCCCAAAACAGACTTGGAACATTTCTTTCCATCATAATAGCTCGGGTTACTTCTAGAAGATGCCTATTTTTCCGCTCAGCAACTCCATTTTGTTGAGGAGTATAGACACATGAGGTTTGGTGATGGATTCCTTCCTGCTCAAGAAATTCCCTAAAGGCTCCACTCACATACTCTTTGGCATTGTCACTTCTCAGAACTTTGATGGGAGTTTGGAATTGGGTTCTCACAAAAGAGTGAAAGTTTTTGAAAATTTGTAAAGCTTCGGATTTTTCTTTCATAAGGTAAACCCATGTGACCCGGGTGTGATCATCGATGAATGTAATAAACCACTTTGTGCCTGTTCGGGTGTTGATTTTGGCTGGTCCCCAAATGTCAGTATGAATCAATGTA